ATTTTTAGAAAAATTCAGATCTGTTTCTTTTAAGTACAGAATAGCTAATAGAATCAATAAATTGTTGCTTGGGTCATAGTTAACATGGAATGTGGCCTCAAACAAGTCAAGTTTTCCCTTCTGAACCTTGGTTTTATGAGCTATAAAATGTAGATAATATTTCTTCTCTTAGAGAAATGGTTTGACAAACTACTAAAAAACCAAAACAAACCTGTTGCTGTTGAGTTGATTCTGACTCATCGCGACCCTATAGGACAGAGTAGAACTGCCCCAAAGGGTTTCCAAGGAGCACCTGGTGGATTCGAACTGCCAACCTGCCTATGGCTAAATCGGGTCCACTGTTTTGATAAATAAAGTTTTATTGGAACACAGCCATGTTCATTCATTTACATATTGTCTATGGCTGTTTTTGGTACTGCAATGGCATGGTTGTTGCAACAGAGGTTGTATGTACGGTGCACAAAACTGAGAATACTTATTATCTGGACCTTTACAGAAAAAATACTACTGACCCCTGTCTTAGAAGTTTATAGAGAGAAATAATATATGCGGGGTAGAATAGAGTAGTGCTTAACAGCACAGGCTTTGAAGTCAGACAGATGTGGAATAAAGTCCTAGCTCCACTACTAGCTGTGAGACCTTGGGCAAGTTGCTAAACCTCTCTGTGCTCAAAAAGTGGTAGCAACTATTATTAAATTGGTATTTCTAGAGCAGAAGTCACAAACTGATGGCCCATGGGCTGCAATTGCCTACAGACATGTTATTTTTGGCCTGTATAGCAAATTGCCAACCTTTAAGTATAAAGACATTTTTATGTAAAAATCTGGATTTCCAGTTTTGTTTTGAAAACTCACTTGCTCTGGCAATACAGGGTACATTGTAGCACATGGCAACCATCAGCTGGAGATGAGGAAAAAAATGCCCTCCAGACAGAGCAGGTCACCACAGTCCCCACCACTCCCTATTACCTCACACCCAGCTCTTCTCTCATTTAATTTACCTGGTTGACTCCCATGAGTACTGGATTTTGTAACCTCTGTTACAAAATCTTAAACAGTCCTAATTTATCTTGTTTATATAAAATATTTGTTTGCCACAAATACTTTTATAATATATCCAGCAAAGGAGAACTTGAGCCAGGAATCTGTGTGAATTACCATAAATTTCAAATCAGTCAGGTCCAAGATAATGAAGCATGACTTCAAATCAGGGCTTCTAACCAGTTCCTTCCGGTTTGAACCCCTGCTGAGAATTTGCGTTTCTGACAAGTTTCCAGGAGATTATACATAAGAATCACCTGAGCTCTTGTTAAAATGTAGAGTCTAATTAAGTATTTCTGGGTTGGAAATGTAAATTCTCAGCAGGAAACTTGTTAGAAATGCAAATTCTTAGCATGAGTTTGAACTGGAACAAACCTGTTTGAAGCCCTGCTTTAAATACCTTGCCTTTCCTTACATGGAAGTTCTATAATAGGTTGAAAAATTGGCATTGTGATTGAATGTCCTTTCTCCATCTTTCTTAAATCTAGAGAAAACTCAGTAGAATTTGGTAGTACCACTGAAGAAACAGATCTTTTTGGGGGATCAGGTAATTAAGTTCTTTGTTAGCTTGAGACTATTTCAGGGCATCCAAAGAACAGTATTAGAAAGAGACATAATAGAATTCTGGTCATATCCTGTGAAATCAGATACTAAACCCTGGCTGATTGTCAGTCAACTGCCCCTTAGTAATGGAAGCTACATTTACTGGTACCTCCTGTGTACCCAGCTTTGCTGGCCATTGACTGGCTGAGAGACAGTGGAGCCCAGCATTTCAGAGGTTGAACTCTGAAGTTAGAGCCAAATTTCCATCTTAACTCTGCCCGCAGCTGGGCTGACCTTGGGCAGGTGACCTAACCTGAGACTCAGTTTCTCAGATGGGGATGATAATAATATCTGCCTCACAGAGTGAAGATTAAATAAGATGTAATACACTTAGCATATTGCACTTAGCAATATTAAATGACACAGGAAGCATCAAAAGAAGATGGGAGGAATACACAGCGTCATTATACCAAAAAGAATTGGTAGACGTTCAACCATCTCAAGAGGTAGCATATGGTCAGCAACTGAAGGTACTGAAGGAGGAAGTCCAAGCTGCACTGAAGGCGTTGGTGAAAAACAAGGCTCCTGGAATTGATGGAATACCAATTGAGATGTTTCAACAAACAGACGCAGTGCTGGAAGCACTCACTTGTCTATACCAAGAAATTTGGAAGACAGCTGCCTGGCCAACCAACTGGAAGAGACCCATATTTATGCCTATTCCCAAGAAAGGTGATCCAATCGAACGTGGAAATTATCGAACAATATCATTAATATCACATGCAAGTAAAATTTTGCTGAAGATCGTTCAAAAGCGGCTGCAGCAGTATATCGACAGGGAACTGCCAGAAATTCAGGCCGATTCAGAAGAGGACGTGGAACCAGGGATATCATTGCTGATGTCAGATGGATCTTGGCTGAAAGCAGAGAATACCAGAAAGATGTTTACCTGTGTTTTATTGACTATGCAAAGGCTGTGTGGATCATAACAAATTGTGGATAACATTGCGAAGAATGGCAATTCCAGAACACTTAATTATGCTCATGAGGAACCTGTACATAGATCAAGAGGCAGTTATTCAGACAGAACAAGGGGATGCCACATGGTTTAAAGTCACGAAAGGTGTACGTCAGGGTTGTATCCTTTCACCATACCTATTCAATCTGTTTGCTGAGCAAATAACCCACGAAGCTTGACTATATGAAGAAGAACGGGGCATCAGGATTGTAGGAAGACTCATTAACAACCTGTGTTATGCAGATGACACAGCCTTGCTTGCTGAAAGTGAAGAGGACTTGAAGTACTTATTGATGAAGATCAAAGACCACAGCCTTCGGTATGGATTACTCCTCAACATAAAGAAAACAAAAATCCTCACAACTGGACCAATAAGCAACATCATGATAAATGGAGAAAAGATTGAAGTTGTCAGGGATTTACTTGGATCCACGATCAACGGCCATGGAAGCAGCAGTCAAGAAATCAAAAGACACATTGCATTGGGCAAATCTGCTGCAAAAGACCTCTTTAAAGTTTTAAAAAGCCAAGATGTCACTTTGAGGACTAAGGTGTGCCTGACCCAAGCCATGGTATTTTCAATCGCCTCCTATGCATGTGAAAGCTGGACAATGAATAAGGAAGACTGAAGAAGAATTGATGCCTTTGAATTATGGTGTTGGTGAAGAATATTAAATATACCATGGACTGCCAGAAGAAAGAACAAGACTGTCTTTGAAGAAGTACAGCCAGAGTGCTCCTTAGAAGCAAGGATGGCAAGACCACGTTTCACATACTTTGGACATGTTATCAGGAGGGATCAGTCCCTGGAGAAGGACATCATGCTTGGTAAAGTAGAGGGTCAGCAAAAAAGAGGAAGACCCTCACGAGATGGATTGACACAATGGCTTTAACAGTGGGCTCAAGCATAGCAACGATTGTGAGCATGGCACAGGTCCAGGCAGTGTTTTGTTCTGTAGTGCATAGGGTTGCTATGACTGGGAACTGACTCGATGGCACCTAACAACAACAACAACAACCATGCACTTAGCATAGTGCCTGGCACATAGAAAGTGCTCAGTAATTATGACTCGTCTTTTTTTAACTTAATCCACACAACAGCCCTGAAAGGTAGGTAGTGATATTGCCATTTTACAGATGAGGAAACAGACTCGGAAAGGAAAGGTAACGTACAAAGGCCACGTGGCTGGTAATAATAAAGCTTGGATTTCTGTCAACCTGTAAAGCCTGTGTTGTTTCTATTGCACTCTGCTTCCTTTCTGAGTCAAATGCTTATTATCAGAGATCCTTAAGAAATTATTCTGGTAGGATCTACTTCATCTATATAAACTCACATGCACCCAACGGAAGCCCCCATAGTGCTTTTCAAATAGACACGCCTCTCAGAGTTACCTGATGAGCATTTACAAAATAGAGACCCGTGGTCATACCACAGAGTCCCTGGGTGGTGCCGTTAACATGGTTGGCTGCTAACCAAAAGGCTGGAGGTTCGAGTCCACCCAGAGATGCCTTTGAAAAAAGTCCTGGTGATCTACTTCCGAAAAATCAGCCATTGGCAACCCTATAGAGCAGAGTTCTACTCTGACACACATGGGGTCGCTATGAGTCAGAATCGACTTGATAGCAACCAGTATGGCATGGCATGATCCTACCACAAAGCTCCAGAATCAGAAATCTCAGACGTGCAGCAAAGGCACATCTATTTCGAAAAAAAACCCTCCTGGGTGATTCTGCAGGACAGAGGTGCCCTGGTTTGGAAGCACTGTGTGACTCTGATATCTCTAACCCTCTCACTGTTAAACCTCTCTTCATTTTCTACCTCTGGGGTTTTCTTATTAATTTGATTGTTTTCCTGCCAGCAGATTTGCATCCGCTTTTTTTTTTTCCACCCCATCTAGACTGGCACTTACCCCAGCTGAATCCCTTGGCACACAGAAAATCCCTGTGAGGAGGAAGGAGGAAGTGGTATTTACCTTCTGGGTAATGGGCTCAGAGAAAGGAAGCAGGGAAGACTTAGTTACCCAAGTGCTAAGTTCTAGGAGGTCCCTGGGTGGCACAAATGGTTTGTGCTTGGCTACTAACCACAAGGTTGGTGGTCCAAACCCACCCAGCAGCACTATGGAAGAAAGTCCTGGTGATCTGCTTCTGTAAAGATTACAGCTAAGAAAACCCTGTGGAGCACAGTTCTACTCTGTATCACACAGGGTCACCAATAGTTGGAATGACCTCAACAGCACTGAGTTTGTTTTTTTTTTTCTTAAGGCTTGGGAGGGAGATTTCTGGAGATGGTCATGTAGGTGTGGGGTCCTGTGGTTGGGAGACCTGCGCTCTGTGGGATCATACGGTGCTCCTTGGGGAGCACGGCTGGACCGTGCTTCATCTGCCTCTCTCTGTCCTAGGCTCTGGAAGAAGAGCTGAACCAGAAGAAGCGGGAGCAGGAGATGTTCTTCAAACTGAGTGAGGAACCCGAGTGCCTGAGCCCTCCCACCCCAAACAAGGCCACCAAGTTCTTCCCCTACAGCTCTGCGGATGCTTCTTAACAGCCACCTGGGATTGTGGCTGGCAGGTGGGTGGGCCTCTGGGGCCCTCCCATTGTCTGTGAACACATAACTCAGGACCCACCTTCCTCTTGCTTCTGTGCCAGCTCGAACCCAGTGCCTTGCCCTATGTCACCCAGCTGTGCCCACCAGGCCCGTCCCATTGTCCCTGATGCTCACACACTTGTGGAAGGGGACGTCTTGTTCTATGTGGCCTGACCCTAATGCCTGTTGATGTGGTCAGGGTCCAGGAGGAATGGGTGTTCTGTGGCCTCAAGGCCCCTCCTGTTTGCCAAAACACCAGATTCACTGTCTGTGGGGCCAAAGTGCTGCTGCTGAAGTCATCAGGGCTTGTCCATATTTTAATCCTAGATGGTTTTCAGCCCTTACCTGCAGAGTGTCAGACAAGACACTCTGTGTTGAACAGCCATTTCAGTTCCTACTGGAGCTCAGCTTGCAGCCAGCTGCTCAGGACATGCCCTCATCCCTCCAGTTCCTCTGGTTTGCCTTCCACTTGAGAAGAGGCTGTGTCTGCAGCTAGGGGAGGGACGCCCGAAATGTTCATTCCCCCAACACACACATGCACACACACGCGCGCACACACACACACACACGCACACGGCCTGCCTCCACCCTGGGTCTCTTGCACGCAGGTGGTTGGAACACGTTTGCTGCCTGAGCCTGTGCTACTGAGCGGATTGGGAGGAGCAGTTGGTATGGAGAGTGGTGGGCCTTGGCACCAGAGGCACAGAGAAGGCACGGGCTGCACTCCAGCATCATTTTGGCCCCCACACAGGATCCTCTGTTCAGGGATAAATCCCTTACCATGCAAGACTTTCACGATGCACCCGGCTCCTGTCTCACACTTGCCCACCTGCCCACAGTGATTTGGGAGAGCTGTTTCCCTCTGCCCTGGGCCCCCTCCTTGTTCAGGAGTACAGCCTTACATTTCAGACTGAGGCTGGCCATCAGCTGAATTTCTTCTCAGGAAGAAAAAGCATCAGGGAAGAGAGCTTAGTGCTCCCTGTCCCCAGGAACATGGCAGAAGCAAAGGTTCTATATCTCAGATGGAATATTGGGGCTTTTAGATCACTCAGTTTGCCCCCACAGCTTCTGATCTCCACAGGCCTCAGAGTGTGTCTACCCCAATAACAGAAACTGCTCAAACCAGCATTTGGTTTATTTACAAAGAAAATCTTTTTCCACCTTGATTTCTAATTGTCCATTGAAATAAATATAAGCTGTATGGCTTCTTCAGGAAGATACTTCCCTTAAAACACTCACACACACAGACAAGTGATGATACTCTTTAATAATCATGTGGGCATGAGTCTGGGTGCTATTTTGCTGGTGATAAAGTGGCTGAAACAATCCAGGAGGACTCCCCCCTTCATTCCTAAAAGCTGAGGTCAATTCTTTGTCTTTCTAAAGCAATTCTCAGGAAGTTTTTTCAGAACTGGTTGTAACTGGATCCTTGGGAAGCAAGGAAAAGGGGATTTGGGGATTTGGGGTTCCCAAGTCTTCAGTAAGCAATAGTGAAGCTTTCAGGGTGCAGGGGAGGGCAGTGCTTCTCCTAGGTTAGTGAGCATTCAGCTTGCCTGCTTCAGTATTTGGCCAAGATGGGATATTTTCCAGGCCCACACAAATGGGACAAGTTAAACAACAGCCCCCTTTTATTCTCTTTGGTGCACAGATGCTGGGAGAACATGAGCCAGTAGCCATGTGAATATAGAGCAGAAACCAGTTCCACCAAGTGACACCAGCAGGGCTGATCTGGGTCTTGGTTCTAATATCTCCTTTTGCAGCCTGGGGTGTGAGGATGAGTGTGAGGTGAGATGCCAGGTTCATGGTTCCGGCGAGTCTTCAGTCATTCCTTTATTTGGCTTGTCATTCCCATGGAATCCCCTTCCAGGAGTTGCTGCTTCCCTGCTCAGGGCTCTCCGGGCCCTAATCGCCCCCCTGGCCTCTCTGGATGGGGTCTGCTCGGCTCTCCCAGCCTCACCACCGAGCCAATGTGCAATACCCCCTGCTGTGAAGTCCCACGCAGTATTCCTCATGCCCAGTGCTAACGTTTTCTCTGTAAGGGACAGGCAGAACTGTTTCTCATTTTTAGTCTGTTTTTAGCAGATTAAATATAACTAACTTATATTTTCCCTTTATGAGGTATAGAAGTTATTTTTATGTAGTTTCTAAACTTTCTACGAATCTTTTGTAAAATGTGCTCTGCAAAGTTAACTGCGAGAATGTACATATGCTTCTAATAAAGTAACAAGGCGAGAAACTTTTTTGCATTTTTGGGTGTTCTTTGGGGACTTGGGGTGGGAAAAGCAGGGCAGACTTCTCCACATTTGCCTGGTAAGAAAGGGTTGACTATCTTCTGAGGACATGGCTGCCTCCCAGATCATAGAGCAGGTCAGAGTGTGTGTGTGTGTGTGTGTGTGTGGGTGTGTGTG